ACACACACACACACACACACACACACACACACACACACACACACACACACACACACACACACACACACACACACACACACACACACAATCTTGGCCTTCTCCCTCTTTCACTGCATGGGTCAAGTTGCAATGCCGGTCGTCCGGGTGATAAATTATTCACATGCCGTCACTGGGCAGCCGTTTCGTCATGGTAACCCAACGCATGATCCCTATGTGTGAACTTGGTCTCAGTCACTGGCTATTTTTGTGTTTACCTAATAAAAATTTCTGGAGTATAAAACATGTAATGAGTAAGAAACATACACAAAGAACTCTTAACTTTAAAGAAGAGCTTTTAGAGCTAGAATCCTGAGGGAAGGGCCGAAGATATGCCTCAATTTAAATACACAGATGACATTTTTTTTACTTTGTGACTAATGTGTTCCTTCTAACTTGCAAAGAAACAGAGAAAATGGTTCAGTGGTGCAGAGGAATCTTTGAAGACGCCACTTTAAAGTCTGCAGACCGAGTTGAAGTGGATCTATTTCTGGAATCTGGGTGACAAACGTGCGTTTGCATGAACCCGCTGTCAAAGATGCTCCTTTAATCTCACGGCAGTTTTGTCACCGCGGTTTGACAAAAGAGAAAAACATGTGACGAGCACAGACTTCGTGAGCAGAGGGATGAAGCTGCAAAACAAGAGATTATCTTTAAAAAATATCTACGGTGTAACAGAGATAGAGATATTTAGATAAAGGCCGAATTCAGGGTAAAACTAAGTCCCAAAAATGAACTTTGACCCCAGACAGTTTGTATATTAGATTGCACTGATAACCACAATTTGCTCAGTCCTTACTCAAATGTGTTTTTGTACCAACATCCCAATTCTCCGATCTAATCTAAACAAAGTTGTCCGTCTCTCCAGGGTCACTAGTTCAACCTGAACTTCAGCCCTCCAGTGTAAATCTAAACAGAATCGTTTAACCGTGTCACATTGTTTTGTTCAATTCCATTTGCTCAAGTGGCAATCTCAGAGATTCTCATTGAAATAAATGTCTGTTAAAGTCACAATCGATCACCCAATGAGGTGACGCAATACAGGGAATGAGTCCCACACCCCCAGCGTGCATGATGCTCAGGAGAGAGCGACATCAAACCAACCTGGCAGGATGGCAAACTGTTTCTGGAGTTCAGATCCGATTTCTGCAGCACACCGAGGACCATCTTCCCCATGCATGATGTCATCTGGAGAGAAAGAGACGGAGAGCAGATGGAGATCTTTTAGATTCCAATGTGTTGATATCGTATGTCAAAGTGGAAAATTAGTTATCAGGTCATTGAGGCAATGTTGTGCTGAGAAAAGTTTATATAGACATACATTTTTAACATAAACTAAAAGCCCATTTTTTCAATCTGGCTTTCATATAGTGTTTTATACGTTTTATAGCTTTTTAGAATTTACACTAGTTTTATTTATTATGATATATTATTATGTATTTTCTAATATACTATGTTCCAACAAGTAGAGGAAGGTGGTTGGAAGAATGGAGTACAGATCTGTCCATCCACAGTGAGAGACCATGGCCAAACCTGGATTCAAACCTCTTTACTGTGAGGAAACAACGGTAACCACTGCACCACTATGCCACACATGTTAGAGAGGATGAAGGGGAGAAAGCAAAGCAGTGAGAGTAACAGGGGATGAAGTAAACAGCATTTGGATTTCCTCTGGTCAAGCTGGATTACAGTAATCTCATTTAGACATGTAGACACACACAAAGACACAGATAGAGGGAAAAGCACTCTCCTCCATCCATGTGGTGCCAAACCTGTGTAGATTGTGTACATATCATGTGCATCTGTGAACCAAAACTGAGAATTCTTCAACGTCTCTGTCCGAGCGTCGCCGTGAAAGCGTGTGTGCACACAGACAAAGGCTGGCACCGCGGCTGGTGTGAGCCGATGGTGGTGAGGTTTCCCAGCAGTATGGTGGGACTGGCAGCTAGATGGCATTCATTACCACAGCAAACCAAACAAGCTGATTGGATTTTTAGAAAAAAAGGAGCCTTCCACCCAAATTTCTTTGGAGTCAGAGARCGCTACACATGTCTGGCTGTGCTCCAGAGCCTCAACAAGGGTTTAACTGCCTGACGCACTGAACTGACAGGTGGCCCACAACACACTGCAACACACACACCCTGACATATGACAACACACTTGCTCTCACACACACAGTCTCCCACGTAGATATCATGTCAGAATGTGCATCGGGCACCTCCTCTCCTGCTCTTCCTCTCTGGTTTGTGGTGCAGCGGAGGCCGATTTTAGCAGACATGCTGTGTTTGGGTAAATTACAGGCTGCTTCACTCTGCTGGAAGTTTATTAAAGTGGACCTGCATTAGTGCCACGTTTAAATCTCCATAAACTGCATCCTGCTCTAAAAACGTCTACCTCCTCTCTTTAATCCTTTCCTTTACTCTTTTCTTCTTTSTCAGTTTATTCCCAGACAGATCATTTATTCATGTGTGATATGTGGTGCACRGGGTTCCTGYGTATGGGCAGAGGCTGAGTCACTGCTCGGACATCCTAATGCAATCCCCTGATATCTGGAGCCATGCCCAGTGACTTACTGGCATTATTACTCCCCGTGTGTGTGTGTGTGCCAGTGTTGTAACATGGTAAACCTCCAGTATGACAGATTCCTGCCTGACCACAGCTACAYGCATGTCGTGCCACCTATTTAATCGCCCCCCTGCGTCCCAAACATCCTGTAAACAGCTGCCGGCACTCTCGCTCCTGCTGCACMGCGCAGAGTGTGGACTGCACATGAGCCGTGAGACCCACAGCGTGTGGTATATGAGTCACTGTCTAGCCTATGGTATGCTGACACACTGTATATGGCATTACTGAGGTTCTAAGCTCTTAATCTGGCGGGGGTTCTACATCGTGTGGAGCTACTGCAGAAAACGACAGGGTCCTGGTTGTATGACCACCTGTAATTCAGGTCTTTGACGGATGTCCATGGAAATGACAAAGGTCATAAAAGGTCCTTTTTTGAGGCCTTTGAAATTTTCATGGTAGTACAAGGAAGGGCTGGGTGATAAATCAAATATCAATAATTACCGCAATATAATTTTTATGAATATCTCTACAACAAAAGTCCAATATATACATCATTATAATGCTGCGTGCACAGTGAGGAGGTGTAAAATAAAAACTGTAACTGATACAGGTGGCTGGCTGCAGTGTAGGTCTTAATCCTCCATGTTAGCTGATGGGACATGAACAGAACTAATAAGTCATAGTACAAATCAAATACATTGTTTTAATGATCTTTTTAATAAATTTAGAAGATGGTTTCATTCATCTTTTAGTTCTTATCACATTCATGTTTGTTCAAGTGTAAATTTTTCCATCAAGTTTGGTTTTAATTAGTAATTAGATGATGTAAAAATGGGGTGAAAACTGACTCAGGATTGGTCGATTGAAAATGTCCCAATATCGCCAGAGATCAAACCTCAGGATTTGAACGTACCTACATTTTTTTTCAGTTGAGTGAAGAAAACAACATCTTGAAACTAAATGATGGGAATGTAAATTTTCTCCTATTTTCATAGGTTTGACGTTGATTCTGTTTCAGATCAGGTGCTACAGTCACACCAGCTCTCAAGTGAGAAAATAACAACAATTTCAAACAAACTGCACAGTGCACACGGCCGGTGCACTTCGGGAGGTGAATGGCGCTGCAGACATATCAGACATTCAGGCGTCAGGCTGCTTTTCACTGCTGCTGAAACCCTTAAAACTCCCTGCTTTGTCCTCAGGGGAATGAATGAAATTTAACTATAGCGGCTAAGCTGCGAGCGAACCTCTTTACCCACCAAACACACATACACACACACACACACTAACACACACACACTGGAAGTGGGGCAACGCAGCAAAACACAAATAGTGATTATGGGGGGGCTCGAAAGAATGTCCACCCCGCCTCCTTGTACCCTTCCCCCCCAAAGCCCTGACATCTCTTCCCCAGTTCATTCATCTTTTTCTCAGGGGCTTAGCAGAGGGGCTAAATGATACATAACTCAAAAATCGTCCCATTAGAACAACAGGATTCCTCTGAAGGAGGTTGATTAAGTCTCATGTTAGAGTTGCTCGTTGATATAATGACATGGCAGTGACATGTGTGACACCTCTAAATGCATCATTCACCATTTGAACGCAGCATCCGAGGAATTCTACAACATGTTATAAACTAAACTGGACCCATTTCACACTCCTGAGAGTCTGCAGCTGAAAGCCTGTGTGTGAGTGTGAGTGTGTGAGTGTGTGTGAGAGAGAGAGAGAGAGAGAGAGAGAGAGAGAGAGAGAGAGAGAGAGAGAGAGAGAGAGAATAGGAATTAGAGAGGTGAAAAGATGGTGAAGATGGGGTGGAGGAGGAGGGAATGGGGTGGTCGAAAAAGAAAAAACGAGCGCAGAGGTGCTCTTGTCTCAATAGGATGAAATGAAGAACAGGGTTTCTTTACACATGCCTACATATTTAATGTGTTGGCCTGCGAGTTGATACCGCGGATGTGTTTTCTCCGTGGTGGGGGTCAGGAGCATTTCATTTAGTGGTTTYTATTTTAATGAAAACTGCTTCATACTGCTCTCTCTGTGACTGGTGGAAATCATTTTTTAAAACGTATTAAACAGGAAACATTGTGACATAGGTGCATAGTTGAATTTATTTTATTTTTCAATCAGTATCCTTTGGGATAATGGGGGTAGTAGTAGTACTAGTACCTTTATTTTAGGGATCAAGCATTGAAAAATTTAAGGATTAGATTTGATGTAATGCAATCACCATGGCAGCTTAGAGATATTGTTGTGCAAGCTCTAACTTATTAAATCAATAATGCACAACAAATATTATTCTGTTGGTCATTTGAATCTTGCCTACAGACAGAAATCATGATTAAATTGTCTGTAGAATGATGATCAGCAGCCTTATTGACCTTTAAACAGCTGATCTGAGCCTCGAAACAAATACCAGCAAAACACCCTGTTGCTTTGGAACACGATGATTAGATCATCTGATCTGTCTCAGCATCTCACCTCTACACGGTTAACACAAATGATACTGCACAAACTGTGCGTATGTGTGTGTTGAGATTAGATTACAGAAATGCTCGCTGACAATGTAATTTGGAAAAACTCAATTTGTCCAACAAGATGCGCTGTGGTAATGTCAGCAGTCAGGGGTGAAAGAAAGGCAACGGCCAAGTTAGGTCCCATAAAGGTACAGTCCACTAAACATACTCAAAGCACAAACAAGTGATGGAGACCCAGTGAAATAATATGCACGCGCGCCTCTGCCTCCTTTGTTCTGCAGCTGTTTTACTACAGGTTTTCATCGCTAAACACACATTGTCAGTTCAAAGCCGACAAACAGCTGTTGTCTGCTGGTTAATGGCTGCCAGAGCTGGTGGCTGGTCAAAGTTCAAAGCCACAGGAAGCTGGAGAGATGTGCCACACTGCCACAACTCACATGAACACACACACACACACACACACACACACACACACACACACACACACACACACACACACACACACACACAGAAAGACATGCTTTCACACATGCACTAAAGTCCGGATGTTTTCCAGAAATTTTCCGGAGGGGCTGCACCAGAAAACGCAAATGTCTGAGTCAGTTCCTGCTGACATTTTCTTTAACTTTTCCTGCCACCCCCCATTGCAAAATGTCTGTGTGAGCCCATGTGACAATACAGCAAGATAAATGAAAAAGATTTGAATAATACAAACATCTCAGGAGCCATACTAATAATAATAATACGTAATCAATACAACAAATATGAAAAAAAATGAAACATTGATAATTAAAAACATAGCGTCATGTCGACCTGGCACTAAGGCGTCACTGAGACCATCAGCTGTGGTATGTGGCAACTGGAGAGAGGACGGACTTGGAATGTAGACTTGAAGGCACTTGGATGGAGGCGCGCGTGTGTGTGTGTGTGTGTGTGTGTGTGTGTTAAGGGGGTGATGGAGGGTTAAAAGTTGTGTCACTGGTATCAAATACCAGCAGAGACATGGCCAGTTGCACCCATTTGTATATGTGTGTGTGCATTTGATGTGTTTGCATGTAAAAGGGCAAGGGTTTGGCACTGTGTATGTGTCTACCCTTGTGTGAGGGAATCTGAGCTCTGTTATCTGGCTTTATAGTCAGAGTTCACTAA